AGCTTTCAGGAAGAGCCAGAAATCGCATTGTGCCAGATCCGGGGTGACAGGTGCAGGAGCCTCGCGTGTTTAGGAGCCCCCCCCCTTGCAGTTGGACGGGATTTGGCAGCAGCCCTCACTGTATTTTTGATCACATCTTGTAAAGACATTCATGAAAGCAAACTTCCAGAACTGCTTCAGAAAGGGGCAAGAATGATGGGCTAAAGTGGGGAGGAGCAATGTATCTTTTACTGTAATGAGCTGTTTAAAAGGTAAAGTCACCACATCCTTTGATCATACCATGTACTGTTTCAGCCGGATGAGCAATAAGACTTTAGTCCCAGGAGTGCCCGCCTCTCTACATTGCTGTGTGAGAGCTGGGAGAAGTGGCTACGCCTTTTCTGGTACAGAGAAGCATGGTGAAAACTAAAGTGATTTTATACTCTTATTATTTTATCTCATGGTCAAGGACCTTGGGGAATATTCCATGAATGTTAGTGGTTGGTGTTTGGTCTGTTAAATAGCAGTGGCTGTTGAGAAAGCACATAAAGAAAATCTCTGGGCCTGCTACAGTGTATTGCTGTCAAGGGCAGCATGGAGAAATGGGGAGCAGGGCTGTAACGGTGGCCTTGATTACAGTGAGGACTTCCAGGACCATGGTGGCTCCTGGATCAGAGAGCAGGAGAGCAGCACCCTCTGTCTGTGGAGGACAGATGTGTGCGTTTCTCAGTCCAGAAATCGGCCGATCGGACCAGAAGGCTGTCAGTCCGCCAGCGTCAGCAGCAGGCGAAGACTGTAGTGTCTGTTCACGGACCCGAACACGAGCTGCAGGAAATACCTATGAGAGAAAACCACACGGGGCTCCAGGCTAGGCCTGCGCGGGGAGCTGGGCTTGGGCACCGGTGTGCAAACCAAGGACAAGCTTCAGAAACATCTGCAAGGCATAGGCTTGAAGAACGTGGCATGGTTTTAAACATCTAAGGCCTGTAACAGATGGCTGAAAGCAAACTGACCTTTTTTTTTATCTACTTTTGCACAAATGAAAAAAGAATAAGATTTGAAAATACAGGAAGTGGTATTCTGAAGCAAGATGGGACTGGGCATTTTCTCACACAGATCAGGCCGGAGTGAGACAGGTTTCCTAGTGTTGGAATGCCAGGAAAGTTAAGATCATTTACGGCCTACGCGGGAGGATTCGCACCCTGGCCTGGATATTTGGTGCTAAAGAACTTTCTGCATTTTCCCACACAAAAGGGTCATTTTTGTGATCTTAAGAAGTTAAATAGCCAGTTCTTTGAAGGATCTCAGAAATCCCTGTGTTAACAGAAGTTTAATATGTTTCTGTGAGTGTTTTTGTTTTTTAGGTTTGGCAGTTTCTGTGATTGTCCTAAAGATAAAGCATGTATTATATATATATTTATTTCTAATAAATAGTTGTTGGTGAGATAGTTTTCCTGATCCTTCAACCTCCGAGTCTTACCAGTATTTCCTTGGGCACTAGTTGAAGTATATTTATAATGGATAAGTTAAATGTAGCTGTGAAAATATCCTTAAGAAAAAGCCAGTCTTGCATGAAGCTTACGTAGCATCTGTCAATCTATCTATGGATCACCTGGACCATTCGAGGGCAAGATGGGGAAAAGGCAAGTGCTTTTTACTAAGCAGACAGCTGCTGTTAGACTTAGGAAATGGACTCTCCTTAATTTTGGTGGCCTGATGAGAATCCCCATTCTTCAGAGATGCTGAAGTTGAGAAGAACAGTATGTCTGAGGTCATGCAGCTTATAAGTATGGGGGTCAAGTACTGAACGGAGTATTTGTAGCTCCGAGGTTAATATTTCTAGATTCTACCTCATTGCCACACCCCCGCCCCCTGTCTCCTGTCTCCACTGCACTGCAGTGCATCAAACAATTCACTTATTTTTAATTTATTTGTCCTGTGCAGTCCTAATAATGCATCAAATAATTCTTTCTTGGGCCACTGTGTTGCTTTACCGAGTGTGCAGGGAAAAAGGAAGATCAGAGGCAGCCCGGAAGTGGAGAACCAACCTGTGATTGATATCTATTTAAAGCATGAAATGTAGGAGCTGCAGAGGACCTTGGGTGCCTCCCTGCACACATGCTGAAGCCAAGCGTCGTGGTGACACAGTGAGTTCTCATCCATTAACCAGTCACTCATCCAATGGGGCAGCAGAGAATTTCTCCGCTGCGTTCTGTAGGCAGGGATTTGAAGAAAAGATCTCTAACTTGTCATTTGGAGTTCTGGCACTATTTTAAAAGTCATGCTGGCTAAAATAAGTATGTGTCTTCAGAATGAATGACTTACGGCTCTGTGCTTGCCAGGGATTATGTGTTTCCCAAGTGTTGGATGGAATCACACCATAAGAATAAAAATACCTGGAAGGAACCCGTCTTTGCAGATTAATTTGGTTCTTCCAAGCCAGTTTATGAGGCGGCCATCTCGCCATGCTTATTGATTATCAGACAAGGCTACTAATCCCCTTAAGGTCATTAAGTGTGCTTAATTAAAGAGCAGTTAGCAAGCTTCTCTTTCCTGAAGTAATGTGGCTGTTAAAAGTGATTTGTGTTTTACCAATACACTGGCTATTAATCTGAAGGTCAATTTGTCATTTATATTTTCCCAAACAAATACGTTTGGTAGGTCCCGTGAGCACTGGTGTTTCCATGCACCTTCCTGAAATACCTGTCTACACTCGTCAATTAAAAAACAAAAGTGTTCAATTGGCCTCTCTCTGTAGTAGGACAGTCATTCCCACTGGGGGGGCACCACACCAAGTTTTTGTTTGATTAAATAATCTTTTTCCGCTGTTGCCAACGATGGGGTAGGGAACTGTGTTGATTTGAAAACAAACTATTTCTGCATCACCTGCGGTATTCCAAAATGAATTTGAACAAGAATGAAGGAAACAGGTAAGCTTACATCGTGGAGTCGTTCCTGAGATTGATGAAACCATAAAAACTGAGTTGACAAAATTCATAATTGGGAGTCACAAGTTGCTGAATTTACCATCCACAATAATCTCCTGGTGCAGCTGGAGGAACATGCAGATGATCGAACTGCTCTGTAGTAAGCGGGCTCTGCCCTATTTCAGTGCCTCCGTACAAAACTGTGTGCACACTGAGCTGCGGCATGGCAAATGTTCAGGGACGTTGTGTCAGACATTCATGTAAGGATCAGCTACGAAGGGCTTCTTGAAAGGAAGGAAGAGTTAGCCGTCATACAGGCATGCTGGTTTGCACCAGTCACAGGTGACTCCTGCTGGGAGATGACGTGTGTCCAGCCAGAAGTGTACAGAAAGGACTCTGCACTCAGAAGGGACAACCGGCCTGGATGTTAGAGACCCGTTGCCTTTTAGACCATCTCACTTGATTCCCTTTCTTCTAGACTTCATTACCACTTCCCATTCAGAAGAGGGATTTATGAAAGCGCTGTCTGGTTCAAGAACATGCAAAAAAACATTCAGCTCCCCATAGAAAGGAAAACACAATGAAATGATGGAGCTTTATTAACAGAGGTTATTTTCAGTCTGTTTCTTCAAATTCCAGTTCAAAAGTTTAGACCGTGATCAGTGGAGAGGGAACAAAACTTGCTGTGATTTTGCAGCCTGGAGCCTCGTGTCTTTGCACGGCAGGTAGGGAGAGCTTTGGTTCTTTTTTGACTGCAAGTTCCTTTGCAGCCACAAGTCACTTCCTAGTGGAACCCGCGCAGCCTAGCAAATATGCAAACATAGCAACGCAGCTGTTCCCAACAACGGCACTCGTGTCTCCCTTTGGTCTCCAAGGTGTCAGTGCCATGGCCCTGAAATTGTCTACTGATTCCAATTCTGCAACGCCAATGGAGACGAATGTTGTGGCTTAGTTACTAGGTTTCCAGCCATAATAGATGTAGCATGCATATTTAAGATTTAGTGGCACTGTACTGAGACAGCAATCTCGTGAACCGGGGCCCACGTTAGGAGGTCCCCAGATGGCTCTCAGCAGGGACTTGAACCTTGGGGTGAGCCAGGTTGGTAAAGCCTAAGTACTAAAGGTGGGCTTTGGGGAGTGAAACAGCAAATAACATCGATTAAGCTTGTTTCTGCCACCAGGAGAGGAGAGGGGAGTCCGGTTTCAGGTGAGGGCACTGAGACTTCCAGCGTGGTACCTTGAGACACAGCGGGACTCCAGGGCAGATCCTCCTCTACCCAGATCCTTTGAGAAGGGAGAAGAGCAGAGGAATGAGCGATTAGCTGGGGCAGAACAGTGGCCTCCGAACCGCTGCCACCAGTAACCGAACCAGAAATCGAAGGACTAAGGATGACCACTTATTAGTGGTTCTGGTTCATGCTAGCAGGCTCGCGGGTGGGACGGAGGGTCGGTAGCTTCAAGTACGCTGCTGCAGAGGCATCTCGGCTTTCTCTGGCGATTCTGAGGTACAAGTAACCCAGTCCTGGAGAGAAGCGCCTGGCCAGGTTTGCAGCACGGTTGCGCATTGGAAGCCCAGCATCACTCTGCTTTCTTACTGTTCTGAGGGTTGGGGCATCTAGACTGGCGGAAACCACCGCTGAACTGAACTGGCCCAGCTCCCCTGTTTCCACTCAGCCCTGTTTGCCGCTGCTCTCTGCGCCTTTCTTTGACTTCCTCACTCACGCTCCTGTTTACCAAGGTCATCGCCGCATCCAGGACGTCTCTTTAATATTCCTTCGGTGACTATTAAATTTGATTTTAAAATACATTAATTTAGATATTTTCGAGCTGCCTACCAGTTAGCAGTATGTCTAATGTCCTATTTATCTAATACAGTTGCTTGTGCTGTTTTTATAATCAGATAAGGATCATTAAACCATTTTTGAAATTAAAGAGCACAAAACCATTCTTTTCTGTTTGTGTGCCCCATTAATATTGGCGATTATGCTCAATGTTTCCATTTAAAAATATCATTTATGTTAATGTAGAAAGACTCTACTATCTAATTGTGAGGATTATTTCTATTACCTTTCGCCATGATCTCCACAGTTATTGGCCTCTGTATCACTTTGAGCTGCTGGATTTTCAAGCTTGGGGATCTTCGAGGACACCATTGAGAATGCTGTTGTTCACTGTCACTAACAAGTAAGAGGTTTTTATGGGTGGCGTTTTGATTTTTCCAGTGCGACAGGTGCCTGACTGCAAATGCTCAGCCTCTTGTTCGTGGTGTGGAAAAGCCATTCTGCTAGTTTAAGTCTTTGGAGAACGAGACAGAGCCAGCGAGAATGGCAGACAGACAGAGGGCGCAAGCGACAGAGACCTTAGCATGTGCACCTCTTGGATAGTCTTCCTTTGGATCTGCAGTCATTCATGTCACACCGCTGCACGGCAGGGCAGACGCCGGCAGCCACTTGGGGCTCTGAATTTCACACAGTACAGTGATGCAAAGTCCCTCCCGTGGCTGTGCCCCCCAGTTCCTGGAAGGCCCTGTTTCCCACTTTCTCCTCCACTACTGAAGTTAGCACACCGTGCATCCCCTAAGTTGCAGAGATCAGCAGAAACACCAAGGCACCACGAATTTCAGCCAGCATCACCAGAGTGAGCGCAGAGGGCTGTCCAGGGCTCTCGGGGTCTCTGTTCAGCCTTCCCAGAGCAGAGGCAGGACAGCTTGGTGTACAGCGCCCAGTTTCCTGTGCGGTGCCATCTGGAGGTGGCTCTGGAAGGATCAGCTGTCTAGCTGTGCTCCTCCTGGTGAGCGAGGCACCCGCGGCTTCCTTCTGGGCACCCCCACACCCTGTCCGCTTCTGGCCCCTGTACCCTGGTGGTGGTGCAGACCCCTCAGTACGTGGTGTCCCTGGACGAAGCGATACTGGTGTGTCTCCTTGAAACAGAATCCTCCATGGTATCATCCGGGGGGCAAATCGCATGATGAAAGCCCCAGATGGATCCAGAATCCCGGCTTCAAATCTCTGCTCTCCCGCGGATTCCTGAGGTCACCTGGTCTCATCAGAACTGAGTATTGTTTGTTAGCAGTGGTGATCAGCACCACCCCCCTCTGGGTGCAGTTGTGAAGATGAAGAATGGCAAAGTGTACACAGATGAGACTTTTTAGTTGTGATGAAACCATACAAAGTTTAGCTGTGGCAAAATGACCAGCAGTGGCACTGCATTGTAAATGTAAACATCTATGTCCTGGGCCCCGTCCTTTCATGATGGCATGCCCCAATTAATCACCTGGCTGTGAGTGCTGGGAACCGGGTACCCTTTAGCATGGGAGAGTAGTCAATGAAGCACCGTGCTGTAGAATCACAGGGTTGCTGAGTGGGTTGGCTGGGGTTGAAGTGCAGACACCATGTTCATAATGACTACCTGATGCGTAAAAGCAGGGTGATAGTAACAGTTACATCAAAACCCCATTTATATCTTCTTCAGGGATCAGGAAGTTGGAGTTTTACCTGAGCATCCTTCTCTTCTCCATCACTGACCCAGCTCCTGAACAATATTTTTTGGTGAAGTAATGAATGACTCAGTGTTCAGGACTTCAAAATACAGTGGGTCAACAATCCTATTTCCAGGTGACCCTGTTGTTCACAATAGCTAAATCTAAATGGTAATATGATATTTTCTTTTGATATGAAATATTAATGATGATTTTTAAACTCTATTTTCAAAGAAATTATTGGTTGTGTCTGTGTCTGTAATGTATTGTGCTTCCTCCTTAATTTTAGCTGTTTGCAATTTAGATAGCAAATGCATTAAACTTGTATTTATCTCTTCTCAGGTATTCACGCCACCGGAAAGACTTTAGTCACCCTTGAGCCTGCCATGCCCAGCAGCTTCTTGGCCACGTGGAGTTACAACACATGCTGATGGACTCGAAGGTCCCCTCTTTATACCCTCCGAGGGGTCCAGCATGCCATCCATCTCGAAGAGTCCACTTTTTTGGCTCCCATGTAACGTTTCAGGGACATAAATCATTTGGGGACATACCTGTGTGTCCTGGGCCCCTGGTGACGTGCAGGGTGGAGACGGAGCAGGGTGGTGGGGCCGCCGTCTCCAACCTTCTCTCCTGAGCTGGCCCCTGTGTATGCCTGGACTTCTTCGGGGCCAGCTGCCTCTCGGTGTAGGCTCGTGACTCGGCCCCACAGAGGGTCTCAAGGCCTTTCCACTCTTATATCACTCAGCCTACCTGGGAATGCTCCTGCCCCTGTCACTGTGCGCTCTCTCTCTTCTCTAGGAAGAGGGTCACACTTTTTCTGGCTTGGGTTTGGAGATGGGAGGAGTGCAATGCAAACTTGTCCCTCCTGGCTGCACAATCTTACCAGACTTCCCTGTAGAAAAGGTGTTTCCCATGGACTGAGCATTTTAAGGCACTCATCACGGTGACAAGGGTTTGGCCCTGTGACCCCTGTGTAAGGCCACACTGGCTCCAGGTGCCAGGAATGAGGGGTCCAAGTGCAGAGGCCGTGAGGCTGGACTCGTGTGTGTGGCCTGTTGGGGTATCTCACCGCATCCGCTGACTTGGACTTCCTTCTTTTCTCTCCTTTTGGTATAAAGTGAAGGATGTGGACGGTCTGAATGGAGCCAGAGTCTGTTCTCCTCCTTTAAAAGTGGGATGATGTTAGAGAGGTGTGATACGCTCACTGCTGTTTGGATGCTCGGTAGAAGGGTGCTTCATCCACGCTGGCCACTAGGTCAGGCCATTGAGTCCCTCTGTCCCTCTGTCCCTCCCTCTCTCTGTCCCCTTTTCTCTGTTTCTCATCTTAACTGTGCTGTTTCCTCCATTTTATATCTTCTCCATCACTTACATCTGCCTTTGTTAGCAACTCAAGGTTTCATTCCAAATTTTACTGAATTAATAGCATTTTAATCAATAACAATATATAAACTAGTGCTCAGACAGTTGGACGGGGTAGTCAGTTTCTTTTTAGTGTATTAATTTTTCGAATACCTTGGTTGTCAAATTCAGTTCATTCCAAATTCATGTTTGTACCTCAAAACGTTTGAGAACTGAACGAACCTATGTTTCCCATAGGAAGTACTGGAAAACCAAATCATTGGTTCTGAGGCCCCCAAATTACTCTTGTCAATTCATTTTTCCAGGACTTCAGATTTCTCAATGATTTCTTCAGCTCTGTCATGGTTTTCCACAGTTTTCCTCTTTGCTTTACTGTTGGTGTCACTAACTTTCCTTGGAGCCGTGGTGATGATATTTTACACAAATAAAGCCCAACCAAGACAAAGCAAAGCACAAACCCTCGCGATGACCAATGTTGCAGCGCACTGACACAAGCACCGTTCGGGGGATAGAGGTCTTGCCCTTTGTCTCCAGTGAGATTCGGGGCATAGCTTATTCGTGGCCTACACAGCCTTCTTCAAGTCAGACTTCCGGTTCCACTGTCCAGCAATGTTACTAACTTGAACTTCGCTGTTGGAGGACTGGGAAGTTGGAGTTGGGAGCCATTGGACAGGAGAAGTCTCACTGCACGCATTGATGGCTTAGCAGCATTTTTCCTGCCCTGGAAACATGACAGTGGGAAAAGCAGGTAACAGTGGGGTTTGTAGACTGTTTCAGAAGATGATGATTCTGTACCGGTGCTAAGAGATGGTGAGTGCTGCAGAGCTGGAGTAAAGGAGGCTGAGTGCACTGTGACCATGACTTTCCAGTTTGCCACCTTGGATTAAAAGAGGCGAAAAGGAAGTCATTTTAGTGCCGAGTGAAGTAAGCATCATCTTCCACTTCCATGCTCTGGAGGTGGGGATGCAAAGTGGCTTTCACGTGGCATAAAGTCGTGCTGCTGTGGCTGAGGTGTAGACTCCCCTGGGGCCCTCGTGTTCCGGGGGTGCTTGTGGAAAGTGACGGAATCATCAGGGTTCATAGCCGACCTGCAGGCCTCATCGGAAGAGGTGAGCGTGGAGGGGTGGCCCGGAAAGGTGCATCTCCCCCTCGCGGCTCCTCTCTCTCCCCGCTGCTTCCTGCCCTTGAGGTGGGCAGCGCCCCCCCCCAGGCAACCCCCATGAGTTGTGGGTGCCGGGTTTTGTGTCCCAGCAATGAGAAAGCGACTGGAACACTTATAGTTACATAGATCTGCTGCTTTCCAAGACATTAAAGACATGATCGCTGACTACCGGGAGGCACATGTTTCTTTTATTATATAAAGAGGTATAAAACATATGTGAATAAGCTCGCTTTTATCCATTTATTTCAGCATTAAGCCTGATAGGTATAGCACGTGATACTGATGAGTTTGACAAAAGCATCCTAGAATGATATCTAATATATTCATCTGCAAAAATAGTCCTGACTACATTGGGATTTGATTTTAAAAACAAGCCACCCTGGAAACATGACTCACTGATAATCAACTGAAAGTGGTTTTTTTTGTTGTTGTTATTGTGTTTTTTGTTTTTTGTTTTTTTAAAATAAGACAGTGCCAATGCAGCAAAAAGAAACATTTAAGAAACAAATATTTGTAGGATATTTTATGATGCCATTTGTACCAATACTTGTAAAACAATAGCCAGAAATTTGGTTGGCTTTGTACTACGCATCCAGAAATAAGGTTCATTCCCTGGGTGTCCTGCTCCCCAATTGCGTTTGTTTTTAGAGTACTTGTTTCTTTTTACCTCGAGGACTGTTTTGAAAACAAAGCTTTGCTTTCACCAGAATTGCGCCTATACCGTGCAATCCTATCTCCGCAAGCCGGGCCTGTCCCGCGTGGAGCCGGGTGAATGCACAGTGTGCAGGTGACTGATGGAAAGCAGGGCCGGCCTGTGTATATGAATGTCTGGTCACATTTTAAAAGGAAATAGCCAGAGCCGACAGGGTGTCTCCCTCTTTCTGCACAGCCCAGCGGCGGGGGGCTTGTGTACCACGCAGCCCCGTGCCGTGTCTCTGGAACAAAGAATAATCCCAGGGATGAAAAGCAGCCAGGAAAACCGCAGATGCCCCAGGAGGGCCTCTTTCCGCGCTCCACTCTGCGTCAGAGTCCCTGGTGCTGGCATCCTAGAGAGGAAGCAAGAGGTGCTTGTGGGCCTCCAGGGCACAGAGGAGAAGCCTGACTCGGACCCTGCAGCCCAGCCGCTGGGAGGCGCACAGGACGCTGTCAGCCGCTCTTTCTCCTGGGCGGGGGAAGGGCACACAGAGGGACCCGGGGAGAAGACACAGCGCTGGGCTCCCTGAGGTTCGCAGGGTGGCCCGGGACACGCTATTCTGCACTAGAGGACAGCAGCCGCTGTGAAGGTTTCAAGAAATGGCAGGTTGAGATTAAGACAGCTACTGCTGATAATGGTCGCAGAGGTCACTTCGCATATTTACATCTGAAAGTGTAATTACAGAGGTGATGTGAAGTCCTAACTGCCCAGCGAGTCACCTGAAAGCCCACTGTCCTCCCTGGGCATGTCCGGGCCGCACCCGGGAGAGAGCAGCCACCTACTCCAGCTTTTCCAGGCAAGTTGTTTGCTCAACTCCCCCCCCCCCAGCCCCAACAGTAACAACAGAACCTGGGAAATTACAGAGGTGATGTGAAGTCCTAACTGCCCAGCGAGTCACCTGAAAGCCCACTGTCCTCCCTGGGCATGTCCGGGCCGCACCCGGGAGAGAGCAGCCACCTACTCCAGCTTTTCCAGGCAAGTTGTTTGCTCAACCCCCCCCCCCCCAGTCCCAACAGTAACAACAGTAACTGGGACGCTTCAAAGGCAAAACTTCTGCCTCTGCCCAGAAGAGATCAGAGGGGTCTTCAATTCAGACTCATTTATCTTGTCTCTGGTATCAGAATTACAAACCCCTTTTGACCAGACTAATTTTTGTATCTAGGAAGTGAGACTAGAAAATAATTTATTAGCATATATTTAATGTTTGGTGGTCATTATATGAGGTGCTGGGACTTAAAAGAAAAGATGAAATGAATAGAAAACGACCATCAATCATCTGTCACTTAACTTTTGGCCTTGCTGTAGCTACTGAGGAAAAGTTTCTTAATTGAAGGATGTCTATGCTAGAAGATAAAAACCCTTCTGGGAAATCTGAAGAACTCTCTTGTCTTTGGGAAAGCCCAGAGAGGACTATCTCTACTTCTGGTCATTAAGTATGATCAGGAATTTGTAATTCGGGGGGAAAGGAAAAGGTCGTCCTAAGAGAGAGAAAGATGAAAGACATGAGGTCGAAATGCAGGCCGAACTGAAGTAACCGCAGGAAGCTCGTTGAGAATGGAGCATAGGCTGCGGCAGGGCAGGGAAGGGCTCAGTCTTGTGAGGAGGGAGGGGAAGACGGCCCCAATGCCCCAGCGCACATTCGAGACCAGCAGGGCCTGGTTTTCCACAGGGGTGAGTGTCTGTGGAGTAGATGCTTGGACAGACGGATGAATGACAGCTGGTCTGACAGCAGTGAGCTGGAGTCCCAGGGACGGGGGAGTTTATGGTATCGATTTGGGGCATCGGAGAATAAAAAGTGAGGGTGGAATTTGAGGATCCCTGAATCTGCTGAGAGATCTAACTCGGGACACACTGAGAAAGTTACCCACAGTCACCCAGCTAGAGAGGGTCAGGGGAAGCAGGGCTGGCTGTTTCTTAACTGCTCATTGACACACTCTGACATATGTCATTTTCTGGACTCCTGGAAGCTAAATTCTTTCTCAGATAGTTTGGAAATTTCACTTACCATGATGCCCAAACATTCTCCACTGGGTGCTAATTTAAGCAAATTGTACCATTTAACTTGGCTTCATGAATATTTAAGATACATCGATGCTTTTTGATAGTTATCAAAAGGCTGCTTCATTATTCTCCTGTGCTGAGGTTATCTCTGTCTGTATTCACTAGTATCAGATGAATGCTCTGCCCCACTTCCTGATTTTCAGAATAACAGCACTGACACAGGCTTTCCGTTAAAGACCAGCAATTGACCCAGGAAAACTGGAATGGACTTGGGTGAGGACATGGACCTATTTTCCAGAAAGAAGACACGGGTAGGGGGAGGGAAAGGGAGGGGACACACAAACCCTGGAATTAGGAAATTTCAAGTTTCCTTTCTCTTTGGAAGACTGTTTCTCCACTGGGATTTAGCTATGATGCAAGAAGTCAGGTGAGTCCAACTGAGCCTGGATCCAGTACTATTGGTCCGGTCCTCACATCGGGTGCACAGAACTCTGAGCAGAAATCCCACACTTCCGGCACTGATCCAACCCTCAGCCTAGCCACCTCATGGGCTGCTGTGTCCCCCGGACCAGAGAGCTGCCTGT